TGGTGAATTATGAGTTGAGGAAGAGTGTTGATGAGTCCTCCGAGAAGGCATCGGGAGATGCATTAGTAGTTCATGGTCATGGTTCAAACCGAAGCAGGAGGTCACAGTCTAGAGGTGCACATCGTGGGATTCGTAGGAATCAGTGTTCCTTTTGTAAAGAGGATGAACATTGGAAAGCCGAATGCCCAAAGTTAGATCGAGCCGAGAAGAATAAGGGGAAATCTGTACAAGTTTCAGAGGTGAATGTTGTCAAGACTAGTGACAATAATTCAGATTCAGATTCTTCGGGCTATTCATTGTCTACACTGCCGTCAGTTTATGTTGCCAACTCTACACGTGGATGTTGGATTCGGGTGCTTCATACCACGTATGCCCTAGGAGGGATTGGTTCTCCAGCTTTCAGAAGTTAGAAAGAGAGGATGTTGTGCTCATGGGTAATGGACATGCATGCTCTATTGGTGGTATTGGTACCGTTCGTATTCGGATATATGACAGAGTGATTCAGGAGTTGGAAGGAGTGAGGTTCGTTCCGCAACTGTCGAAGAACATCATTTCACTAGGAGCTTTGGTGACATCTGGCTATAAAGTGACCTTGGAGGATGCACGTTTGAAGGTCACATTGGGGTCCATGATTGTTATGAAGGGAGTCAGAAGGAGCAATTTGTATTATTTGCTAGGAAGCACGGCGATTGATAGGGAGATGACGACTTCATCAGATTCGGCTAGACTGTGGCGTTGTTTGATGCTGGGTTATTTGATTGGTAATACCGTGCATAGGTTATTGAGGAGTGCTTTGACCTGCAGTTTGAAGTCCTGTGAACCCATTGGTATGAGCGAGAAGACCGAGATGGAGTTTGACACTTCTATCCATCATTCGAGGGGTTTTCTGAGGGGTGTTCATTCAGGCGTTGTTTGATGCTGGGTTATTTGATTGGTAATACCGTGCATAGGTTATTGAGGAGTGCTTTGACCTGTATTTTGAAGTCCTGTGAACCCATTGGTATGAGCGAGAAGACCGAGATGGAGTTTGGCACTTCTATCCATCATTCGAGAGGTTTTATGAGGGGTGTTCATTCAGGCATTCGAGGGCCTTTCAAGGGAGCATTATTGGGAGGTAATAGGTATGTGGTTTTGCACAATTGGGGATTGCTCTAGGCATTGGTGGATTGCAACCAAGTCCCGTTGGTGTGAAGTCCTAGAAGCCCGCAACAGATATAGGAAGTGTGTTGGTAGAAAGGTAACCTGACGTTCTGATTATGGTAGTGGTTCTTTCTTACGTTTGTGCCGATCTCACGGCAATTGGAGACACTTCATTGATGTGGAAACTTTGAGGCGACAAGGCGAGATGGCAGATTTGGGCAGCTGTTCCTTTCTGAAGGAGGATCGGCGTTTGATGTCGAGCATTGGCATTGGTGTGTAGGCTACGACATGTTTGGACCGTCTCATGTATAGGTTGCCGACTGCTGCATGTATAGATATGAGATCTGGTGGAGCTGCTTTAGATTTTGAATTGCGTCGGATGTTTGGCTACCCAATACTTGGTCACATCGTGAATGTGAGATTTGATCCGATAGGACATTTGGGATTCATAGGCATGTTTGATTATCAGGTATCGGCTTCTGACTTTGTTCTGAGCAGGCATGTCATGTTTGACTCTCAGCAGGTGGAGAGTGGTGATCAGATCTTTGGGACATCGCAGCAGATGGAGAGTGATGCTACTCCACGTTGGGTGGAAACTCCAGATCATACTGCATCATTTGGGATTTTAGCTGATATGACACAGATTAGGAATCGTGCTGATTTGGATGTAGATGATAGGCTGATTAATTCAAGTGCAGCTGGTAAATATAGTCTGGATATGGCCATTGGTTCATCTCAGGTGGAGGTGTTTGGATTAGTTCAGTTTGGGGCCATTGGAGGTGCTATCAGCCGCAGACTTGATCGTGATGTTGAAAAAGGGTTGCGAACTCTTCTAGTGGATTGAGGCATTTGGAGGCCATTTGGGTGAACTACGTTCGGCTTGATTCCTTTGGTAAGAGGATACGTAGGCAGTCTTTCAGATGCAGCCGGTTTGATCAGTTGATTCAGATGGGGGGAGAGATCAAGAGGATACGTAGGCAGTCTTTCAGATGCAGCCGGTTTGATCAGTTGATTCAGATGGGGGGAGAGATCGTGTTTCAGCTCTAGATTGGTTCCCTGACTTGTTGATGGACTATTGGATGATTTGGAGTCGGCTCAGTTTTGGTGGAAACATTCGCCGAGGTGGAGAATTGAAGAATTACAGGAAAACAGCAAATCCATCTGCCAGGCAGACTGGCGGGC